TAAAGTGTGTTCCTGGTTTTTAGTGTAATGACATTATATCATCTGAAGATCTGAATGCGCTGAGGAACTTGTTAAATGCTGCTTGTGTTTTTTTTAAAAGAAATGGTCTTTAATTAACATGTTTGTTTCTTTGCTTCTCTTAAATCTACATGTCATCTGTTGACAAAAATGTTTCAGCTACGAGCACTGTGTTCAGTCACAAACATGGCATTACATTGGAATCATTACAATTTAGGAGCTTCTTAATACATGTTAAAAAATGCTTCCAGATTTTGAAGTTATGAATCACAATGTGTCATCCAGTAAAAGGATTCTGACAGAGAAAGTCAAGTTTGTGCATGAGTAAAGAAGAATTTATGTGCCCACAATTTTCTTTAATTCAAAACAAACAGTTAATTTACACATAGACATAAAGAACGTACAATCATCTTTATGAGAATCTGTTTACAGACACAAAGTAAAAAGTTTACTGTTCAAGGTTTGCACTCTGTGTATTACTCTATATTTAAAAGTGCCTTAAAAACAAAGCAAACTGTCCAGTCAAGTTGGCTTCATTTCCACTGCTCYTCCTGATTTGACCTGACACTAACTGTTACCGGCAGATATTTGTTCAAATGCAATTGATAAAATTCAATTTAGTAAAGTCRATTAGAGAACAAATTGTATAGTTATATTTATTGGAGCTTATCCCAGCATTCATTGAACAAGAAGAGGGACCCACTCTGGATAGACTGCAGTACACCACAGAATGTAATGTCTTTTTATCAGCTTTACTCATTAAGTTTTGGCCTTAAGGTTTCTTTGAAATGAGGTTGTCACCCTCCAAGGGCTTCAAAAGTTGGTGAAACTACTTTTAAATTAGGTTTTCTACAGCAGACTTTACATCCTTATCTATGGTATTGTTTATAGGTTTTATGGTCACATTTCATTTCAGAGCTGATTGACCAAGCTGACTGAACTTCAGAGAGTGATTGGTTGATCTAGATTTGTTGTTTTGTGTTTCAGATGCTTGGCTGAAGCTGTCTCACTCAATGCAAAAATGAGCATTGAATGAAACATATTTGAAAACGAAGCACTTAAAACATAGGCTCCCTTCAATGTTATTTATCAAAACAATGGCTTTGTCACAGTTATATATATATATGTTTGTTTTTTCTAGTTACACTAAAGGTGTGTACATTCAGTGTACTGTATACATGGTGATGATTTAGTACAAACCTCATTTGAAGCTAGAGCTAAGTAAACACTCTGAAACCTGCCAGTTAAGTTATTTAATTGCTTGCTATTATGAAATTTACCTTCKTTTCACAACAATCGTAATGTCAAAGTTGTAAGGATCTAAAATTTAAATAAATATGTAATAAATGCAGGAAAAAAAAGTCAAACCAGAATGACCAGTGGGGTTTATACAGTACCTGTTACTGACATGTTGAATTGCTTATAAAATATTTATTTTCTTAAACGAAAATATTTAAGCACAACAATAACTTGAAGACAAGATTTCTGAATAACTGTAAATTTGCCAAATACCTTTATGAAAGTCTCTACAATGGTGATTTAAATGTATGTGACTTTAATACTTGTCTAATTTTTACACTGGGGCTAGCTAGCTAGCTAGCTTAATAGTCTATGTTTGTAGGAGGGAGACAACAAATGATACATTAGTTAATTTTGTTTACTCAGTAGAAAGGGTAGGAACTGCTTATAAGGCTGAGCTTACCTGTTTAACTCCTTAGACTGAAGACGTCTCTTAGAAAACTGACAAAACATTTTTAACGAAGAACCAATCCAGAGGACCTACTCAACTAGATTTTTTTAACTGGATTATTGAGATGCATCAGAATGAAAGGAGACATTAGCTTTTTTTCAGGTTATATGCAACGTAGCTGTAACAGTTCTTTAACCAACATCACAATCATTGAAAATCAGCAGTTTTTAACTTGTGACATTCGTGAGAAAACATAAGTCCGTCATTAAATTACTGTCGATCATCATTTCATATCTTTAGTAGAAATCACCAAAACTTTTCAACATCAAAAACCATAACAGAACTGACAATGTATACACCACATTAGGTTTACAGGTGTTAAACCTTAACTCATAAACTCGTAAATTACTTGAAATTTACACATTAGCCTTGAAAATCTTAAGAACATTTTTTAATCCACCCTTTTCCTTTGATCATCACTATACATATGCTGCATGGTAAAATGRAAAATCAAAAATGATTTAACAAAAAATGATTTAAGACTTTTGCAGAACATTATGCTACCACATTAGTTATTTTCTCTGTTTTAGTGAAATCATTACAAACAGCATGACGTTACTCAGTCCAGTTTAAGGTAGTTTGCTGTCACAGATTTGTTCCTGTGTGATCAACCAAGAGCAACATTAAAACATCTGCCGACTCAGTTTTACCATCTTGAAGCCTGTATATTTGCTTGTAAAATTTCTCTGTTTGTGTGTTTATGTGCTGACTTTTCCATCTCCTCAGTTCCTAGGTTTCTTAGGGAGGAGGGTACTTACAGCTTTTTTTTCTGCTAGCGGCTCTGGAACTTATTACAGTCTGAGGCATTTTCATAAACGGACCATTCAGCTGCCTCTGCATGGTTCTGAATGGGACTCAGTGTCACTAGGAGAAAGAGAGTTAATGTGGGCTGGTAAGTTGCAAGACCTCCCCACTGCCGAAGATTGGTCTTTTCTGCTAAAACACAGAGCTTTACATAAGTAGTAGAACTTTTACATTTTTATTTGCTCCTTTGGCTACTTTTGATTGAAATTTTTACAATAGAATATATTTTAAGTACAATATCAAACACACTTTAAAATTATTGAATTCAAACAATAAAAAACAATGTCTCAGAAAGTTTGAAAATGAATTACTCTCCAATATTTTTACAAAACTTAAACTCTTGTACATTTTCCACTTCGTCAGCCCTAAAAGCAACAAATAAATCTATATGTTAACCTACTGGCTTCACTTAGACAATAAGCATGCAAATTGTTAGAATGGTTTAAAGTAAAAAATAAGATAAAACATTAAATCCCTCTTAAAAATGTAATTCACACTCCGTAATTGACTGCTCTATAACATGTTATGTTGAAACACAATTTGACAAGAGGGAGAGACATTATGCTTTAGAAATTTAGGGTTTGACCCCTATTTTACCTTGTCTCAAAGTGTTCTATATACTGTAAAATGGCAAGATAAGTGGCACTGTATAGGTGTTTATGTAATGTAAAAGCTAATAAGAAACACTTCAAACAGCACCGTAAAAATCTAATGAAGACTGAAATGCCTTTTAGTTATTTACTTTAAGTCTGATCCCTGAAGTTATGTCTTAGGTTATTTAAATTATTTCTCTTTTGTGCTTCATATTTTATCTGGCCCCTAATGGAGAACCACTTGTACTGTAGAAAAATCTACCTGAAGCAAACTGCCCTCAGCAATCTAGCTCCTATGATCCTTTGGGCACTGAAATCTCTCCACCATAACAGGGTTATTATTCACAGAGAAAGCAAAGTGCTATTAAAAAGCACTTATAATCCCAACAAGGCACCTAGACACTCAATGAAGCATGCAGTAGTTTCATTCTCAACCTATACTTAATAAATTTATGCTTTAGAGTCTTTGCCTAAATAGTCCAGCCAAAACACCAACAGTACAAGTTAAATGGAACCACCTACCTTACTACCAGGAGGTAAACCAAAAATGTGTTTTCTAAACTCTTAGTTTATGAGTCATGCCCCAAAATGTGTTCATTGGTGGATGTTTTGTGAGTATGATGTATCAAATCCTGTGTTCTCCGTTGTGTATACCTGAACGTTACTTGTTTACTTTGCTTTGACTTCAGTAATTGTGTTGTTTTTTTCTGGGTTTTAGACTCTGCTGGGGGGTAGTCTTTATCACCAATTCTGTTTGTATTCTTAATAAACAGTTGAGAGGCATACTCCAGGGGCAGTGGCTTTCCATTTCGTTCAGCTTAAGATTAAATCTTTGCTTTTTACAGAAAATGTGGTCCTTTTCGCATCATCAAGCAGAAACCACTGACAGATAATGGCACAGTTTTCAGTTGGATGTGATAAGTGTAGTTTAAGTTGCTCAGCAGTTTTAGTTGTGCTCATAGTTGCTGCTTCTCTGCAACAAAAGGTGTCTGTTGATGTGTTTGGAGCATGAAAGTAGGATGTCTTGTGTATGTTTTTCCACAGTTTTTTTTTTTTTTTTTTTTTTTGACAAATAAGCAAAGATCTTGAGGAAAATCACAAATTTACTGAGGAAAAATATAGCTTTGCTGCCTTGGGAACATCTTATTATGCATTAGGAATAATGGATGRGATGCTATTGGAAAAATAGAAGTCTATGTATCACTGCATAGACATTTGTCTCTATCATATGGTTCCAGAAATAAATACTGGCTCGCTAGCTAGATAGGTGGATGTATGTATGGATTTCCTTGGAATTTTTATCCTCAAGAGTTTCAGTCTGTCTGTTTTTTTTCTTTCTTTCTTTTAACAAATCAGTTCTCTTAATTTGCAGATGTCCTCTTTTGCTATATAGTTCTGACAAGTACAAAATCTTTGCATCATTTCGCCTGTAATCATGTCTGTACTGAAAAATATCAAGACTGTGATTAGTATGTGATTAATTCAGTGAAGCTGGGGTGTGTGAGGTATTTAATTGCAACACAGACACATATATGCCCCCCACCCCCAACAACAACCACAACAACACACACACATATAAAGCAAAGCTAGAATCTAAGAGACAGAAGACATTTGACCTGGAAAAGGCTTTAATCTGCAGCTGAAGAACTCGGATGTTTGATCAGGATTAATATGTTTACCACTATATGGGTCTCACGAAGAGCTGCCATCATGGTTTCTTGTTTTCCATCCTATATATAAACATAAACAGCACAGCCTTTGTGTTCTTTTTTTTTATTAATACTCCAATAGGGCATTATCAAAATGTCTAACAGTCATTTTGCTTAATTTTGCAGGTTTAACAAGAAAGCAAACAGGTAAGAATTTTTTTTAGACATTTTCATTCTTCTGTCTACTTTATTCTGTGGAAATTTATATAACACGATATTAGTTTGAATGCAGAGTTTCATATAAGGAGAACTGGGTAGGTATTACTGGGCTTACTGTGCTGTAACGCATAAGTCTTCAGCGTTTTGACCAAACATACCCCACCAACCCCCACTCATTCATGAACACACATACACACAGAGCATGGGACAAAGAAGCCCCTCTTCTATGGGCGGCCCATTACTGCTTTTCACTGTGAACAGAACAGTGGCCTCTCACAGTTGGGGCTAGTATAGGCAGAAGCAGCCATACATTGCGTTTGAAGGTTCAAGTCGTAGTTTGGCCTTGTGGCATCTCCACTGACATGAGGAGTGTCTTGGTCTCTGGGCACTCAGCGGAGCGGCTCCACATCCACTCTGGTTGTCACATTATACAGTAGATACACTCAGCATGATTCATTCTAGAAGGACTTCCTGCAACATTATTCTCAAAGTTGAAAGGAACAGTTATTAGTTCCTTCTTACTGCAAAATGTAATAAATTATTCACATGCCAGATTTTTGCATTTAGTACGTGAACGTGCATGGATTACAACGATGTAATATACAGAAAATTCTAAACATAGAAAGGACATTGTGATATATAAACACACAGTCCACTCTTTCTGAATTTGTACTGTTTTGTTATGTGCATTAGTCGTTTCTTACAAATGTTCCCGTTTCTTTAGAAGCAGCAGCATTCTCAGCAAAGACCATCCGCCAGACAAGAAACCCAAAAGTGATAAAACCTCACCTCCCTCCAATGAGTTTGACCCAACAGGTACATTTTCCTATTCTTTTTTAACATTGACGCTTCTGCAGTTTGCAACACAGCGTGTTTGTTATTGTTTTCTGTCTGTAAGCAGTATTTGCGTAACTGCTTCTCACGCTTCTGTCTCTCACTTCTTTCTAAAGCACAGATTGTCAAATACAACAAATTTGCTGTGAATAATTTGCAAAAAACACCAACAAAACAAAACACATGTTGGGGTAGTACAATGTGGTATGTGCTTCATGCTTTCTGTGCAACTGCAGAGCTCACTCCAGTCTCACTTTTTACATCACCTAAAGCTATTTTTTTCTGACTTGTCTATTAATTACAAAAACAAACAAACCAACAAAAGAAACTTTTTCTAATTGAGGCTGAAGACTAGTTTATTTTTTATGTTACATGAGCTTTAACCTTTGTCATGTGTTATGTGGCAGAAGCTGTTACGTTATTTGCTACAATATTGAGGAGCTCTGGAAGTTCCGCTATTAGAGAAGAAATCTGCTGCTCTATGTCCAGTGTCCAAATGATTCTGAAGTTTTACATGTACATAAATCTGGACTGATACATGAATGCCATAAAAATCCCTTGAGCTTGTAATGCACTCTAGTCTCATTTTATTATTTTCTTTTTTTGCAAGCAGAGATCTAAAAGTTTCAGAACAGACAGTATGACATAGTGATTTTCTTTCTGATCTTCAGAATTTGTCAGCAATCAAGGATGGCGTGATTTGAGATATGACTAAAGCTTCTGTATTCAAAACACAGGAGCAAAATCCTCTGTATCACATGGTGGTTAATCTCTGTATGATGCAACAAAACTTGGACAAGATTTTTTTCTTCTTAGTGGTTACACAATATACGTCCTTCTGCCTGTGTCTGTGTAGAACTGGAGAAAAAAAATTAACATGCAATTCTGGGAGGGTTTCTGCTCAATTTAAAATGATGCACTCAAATAGTCCACCACAGGCAGGGTGGACTGTAACTTTGTTGTTGTTGTTGTTGTTGTTGTTGTTTTTTATCAAAACCTGTATCTTTAACTTTCATTGTTTTGTAGATTTTTCTCATTTGTATGTTTGCTGCATGTCCTGCAATATAGCATGTTTGAATGATGTCTGTTTCTGTGTCACTATTTTTTATCTGCATGTTGCATGAACTGTAGCAATCTTAAGTTGAATTTTCCTGATTTCATCTTATTATTTTGAAGGTTTTTTTTATAACCATCTCAAGGCCTGCAACTATTCATGACCCACAATGGCCTTTTCTTTCTTTCATTAGAAATCTAAAAACAAAAAAAAATTGTGAAGTTACTGGTTAAAATATTTGTACAATTATCCACCTAATACTTTATTATCATATTTCTCTTATTAAGAACCAAAACAAGTGCATTAAATCATTAGGTTTGTTATTTTTGCACATTTGAAAATAAAAAAAATGTGCACTTGAGGACACAACAAACACTTTTTCTACAAACCTTTCATCTAAAGTAAAAAGCAGTTTTAACATAGTAATTTATTAGGAGAAAATTAAGATTTACTCTTACACGTGTTATTGGGTTAAATCTAATCTAATTCAGCAAGGTGACATAAGTTAGATAACTATCTATTAAGCTAATACATTTTTTTTGATTTGTTCTTATAATTATAGATTTCTTAATCAAAGTCAGACTTAACAATACCACCTGTTTAAATGGCAGCTGGTACTATACATTTGTTTTAGCTCATGCTATATAAGCAGTAAAGTAAGCAACATACAACTTTTATAGAAAAATCCAAATTTCATTCTAGTTGTCTTAACAGTACCTTTTCTGACACCTTACTACAAATAGRAGACTTCATTTCTTCATCCAAGTCTTTCATGCTGAAGGCATGCTACTATTAGCTCTCATTAACTACAGTTAGGCTGCATTCACAGACAAAAAATGAATTTTTGAATAAATGTGAATAGTTGAAAATTGTTSATAAAAATGATCTCCTAAGTAATCYATGCATTCCTAGTTGAAAGTGTAGTGAGATGTTAGGAGAGAAAACAGAAAGGYTGATAACTGTTTCTGTCCTGCGCTACACTTTTACCAATTTAGGGCACCAGGTCACGTTATTGACCAATATTTATTCACCCTTTTTAATCAGACTCATATTTACAGAAGTGTGAGTGATCGTATGATATACAGGGAATTCTTATCTCAGGCCAAAAATACTCAAAGATGAGGAAGCAGCTTTGTCTTTTATGGTAATTTATTACAAAAATATAGCAATTTCATTGAATCATGAATAAAAACAATAAAAATAACTTGAAAGACAAGCAATAAAGTCTCTAAAACAGTTAATGGTGAAAGTTATTGTTAAAGTTAAGATAAGGTTTGGATGTTTAAACCTTTATAGAATGAAAATATATTTTTCCTGAAGAAAATATTTTTCTTCTATTAAAGTGAATATTTAGATTTATGTTTCTAATGTTATAACTTTAATTCTAGCATATTACACTTGACATTTACTTTATGGAGCACACAAAAAATGTAAATAGTCTAATTACATCCACTTTTTTCCACCCAAACCCAATGTTTTAGTAATTCGTTTTTTTTTTTTTGTGTTCATTTAATTTTTCTTCTCCCATGATTATTTCTCCTTCATGATTTTTCTCTTTCCTGTTTTTGTGTTTCTTTTTTCGTGTATGTTGGTTCTTGTTTATTTGTGTTTATGCGTTTGTGTGCTGCTGTGCTGTCTGGTGGGGGCTGTGGGCAGAAGCTCTGGTGGTGCAGAAGAGTGGCAACAGCAGTGTGCTAGCAGAGGGGAAGCCTGAGTCCTGTGGTAAGATGCTCTTGCTGGAATGGATGGTGTGACAGCTTTTAGATGCTGGTGTGGAACTGCCAACAGATGTTAGTTTATAACAAATTGCTGCCAAAGGAGTTTATTTCCTGCGTTGACCTCAGACCGTTAAGTTAAGCCTGCATTAGTGAGAGGTCCAACTCTTACTCAGAATCAAGAAACAAGCCCAACTGAGATTTGTCAGCATGTCACGTAAAGACTTTGTAAATAAGACATCTAAAATAATACTAATTTATACACAATTTGTTGAGGAACGTGTTATTGAAACACTTTAATTACTGACTAATCTGACATGTCATATTTTTTAGTCTCAAGATGCCTCTTGATTTGTTTCACTAAAATTCCAATGTGTTGGTTTATTATCATTTAAGATAAATAAAAGTAGACAATCCTAACAAGAATTTGTAATTATGCAATTCTGTATGCTATGTTTTAAAAAGTGCTTTAAAAACTGTACTCAGACATGCAACCTGGAACTGAAGAAGAAGGTAAAAATAATGGATGGTTGAACAGGACTGTCCCAAGGTTCCAATAATTTAATCTTTCAGCACAGCAGCCAAGATTAAAATCTTAGCTTTTTGCTGCTAATGCCTGTAATAGTTATTATGTAATACCTTAGCAGCTGTGCATGGCACTGGTTCACAGATTTAGGATTATCGGGATTCTGTTTAACACTTTTCCTTTAACACTTGTGCCAGGTCACAAACAGTATTTARGTACATTTGTTTTTGTTTGAATAATCTTTGAGGATCAATTAGGCTTAAACGGGATATATTTACAGTCTTACACTGACCCACTTGTGTTTGGTGTAAAATTAATCACTCAGTGGGTTTGATGGCATGTTTCCTGAATTCATTCTGACAGGGTGATTTGTGAAGCCTCAGCATCCCTGTAGTGTCAGAGTTTCACTATATCTTGTCAGTTCTCTCTCACCTCTAAGTTTATGTAGATGCATCTTTGACAAGGTGTCCACAGGGTTGTAAATGGTAGGGAGTAATTGAAATTAGCAAAAAATTAAGACCCTTAAAAAGTAATAAATGTCATCTGACAAGGTATTAATGTATCCAACTATGCATTCCCCCCAGTCTATGTCCTAAAATTCTCATCCCTGTAACAATAAAATCACTTTTGGTTTTGGGTTAAATAACAAATTTACARAGGTAAGTGTTTGTATTGAGGCAAACATGTAACTATGGATCCAGTAACTGTAATAATACTACACTTACCACAAAAAATTAAGTAAGAAAATGACACTAATCTATCTTTTTATAATTTGTTACCTTTAACTGAAGAGGTTGTCACTACAGTTGCAGTTCAAAGTTGTGTGACAGGATTAAAAAAGGTATTAAACCTAACTTAAGAATTTCTGTACATATCCTGTTTGAACATCCTCAGTTAGCAGAATTTTTTTTACAACTGTAAATGGAAGCAGCAGCAGCAATCTGTAGCACTTCCAGCKCAGRCTGGGATTGACTGCTTGGGGAATAGTGTTTTGTATGCTGTACTGCAATGACTTCTCTTTCTTCTCCTTGGCATTGTGTTCCTGCAGGTATGCTGTGAATAATAAAGGTCATTTTTCTCCCTAGAGAAAAAAATCTAAAAAGTTGCTTATTATACAGCAGTTAAGCTTCTAAATATTARATTAGCTTAGATGTGTTAATCTGAGCAGTGTTAATTACAGCACTCCTACCACTCATTGTTTATTAATACCAACTAGATTTCTAAAAATGAAGATAGGGAAACAGGACAATAATAGCACATCTAGAGGCAAATTCACACCAGCTGGTTTGATCAGCTTKCTCAACACCCATGCTCCCCCACACAGTCCCATCCCCCTGCTCRTCACTCATTTCTGCCTAACCCCTTTTTTTGCACATACACACACACACACCCCACCACCACAACAGCCCAGGTTGTGCCTTTTGACACRCCTACTCCCTCCCCCTTCCCCCGGTGTATTAGCAGCTGCTCACTCTGCTCTAATCAATACCGATTGACTCACCTTTCTTGTCCCTGCTTCAATGAGCAGAAAACGTAAAAATAGGTTCCAGGGTGACTACTTTTAGTCTTTATTGAAATGCTTTAAGGTTGAAAAATCTGCTTGCTTTTTAAATTGAAAAAATAATAATAATAATAGGAGAAGTTTTAATTACGCCAATTAAGTATTTTTGCTTTATTACCGTGTGTTTTTGCTTGGACTGTCCTGCCAGTCTATTCAGGGTCACTCAGACACAAGATAAGGTCTAATCAGTTTTTGCCATGGTCATAAACACTGCCTAAAGAAGCTGAAAGGGAATGTTCCACATGAGGACCTGTGAAACTACTTTCAGAGGAACCTGGTTTGTTGACTCAGTCTTCGATATTCCTAAAAATTCAATGTCTGAAAAAAACGTTTATTTTTTTATATTGTTTGATAGTATAGCAAAACTTAATGTGTCCAAAATAGACAAAAAATAATACTTGTCTCTGAAAATGTTTTATGGGCAACAAGCAGTCTTTACTGTACACACTCACTATCCTGAGTCCCAGTGTTATGGAGGTTAGTTGTTGATGTTAAGCAATTGGTTCAAGAAATTAAATGCAATAAATGCAATCTCCATATTTATGCTGACAGTTTGACAGGGTTTTGGTTCACACCGACTGCAGACAGCCGTTTTTAGAGTCTCAGTTTAACTGATAGGATAAGAGGAACAAAAACAAAAAGCTGATTTAAAAAAATCATCTCTACAGGGATGTGAAACTCAGAGCATACTTCATTTTTCTAAATGCAAAAAGTGTTGTTGCTTTAAAAATGTTTACTCAGTGGAATCCCTTATGGCACATGTTTCAAAATTAGCTTATTTTTTCTCTCTCTCTCTCTCTTTTTTTGTTTTATTTTAATTTTACCAACCAGAGCAATCATGAAGCTTAGTTTCAATTCTCAGAATGTTTGTTGCTTATTTTAAATAAACTTCTTTATGTGAGTTCCTGGCCTTTGCAAACATACTGTATTTTCTCTCTGTGTGCTGTTTGTCCCACCTGCAGGTCTGGTCCAGCGATGTGTAATCATCCAGAAAGATGAAAATGGCTTTGGGCTCACAGTCAGTGGTGACAACCCTGTGTTTGTGCAGCTGGTCAAAGAAGGTAAACTTGCATTTTGAATGTAAAAGGAGAAAGAATAAAGTCGTGACCACAGCTTTGTGTTTTTATTATATTGACTTATTTTTCATTATTTTCTTTTGTGGTTTTATTTTTATTTTTATTATTTTATTTTTTTGTGGGAGGACCAAAAAATGACTAGTTATTGGAAGAATCCTTTCAGCTTTTGCTTTCACTTATATGGGACCCTTTTGACAGGATTTCCTTATTAGCAGTTTCAGTAAAGCTGCAGCTTCTACTTTATCATTAGCTTTTACAAGCAGTACAGAATGCTTCTYTGGCCGTTTGTCATTTCATGTTGTCAGTACAGGATGATGAAGTTCTGTTATCAGGTACAAGAAAGCACCATGTGGTCTGTACAGCTGTGCAGAGAAGTAGAGGAAGGAACTGCTCAAGGACTTTTGTTGCATTGTCATTGATGCTTGTCAGTGTTTAACTGTCCTACAGCAGACCATTTATGCTTTTGTTACTGGCTCAAATCAAAAAGCGATTAACTCATGCATACATTGACTTTTTATCTTTCTAAATTAAGTATTTTAAATGTAGAAATGACCTGCATAAATGTAGTTTTACGAGATCTGGCATTCYAATGCGTCTTGACAGGTGGATAAAGTATTCATTATTGATCTAGTCAAATGTAAAGAATAGTGTATGTCCTGTAGCTTGTAGACAAAAAGAACCAAAATATTATCTGTCAGAGTGATATGCTTACATTTAGAGACAATAAAAAGGGGATTTTTTTTGTTCACCATTTAAGAGGAATGCATGACGTGGTTTGTTAATTTAATACAAGTAACACTAGGGATTCTCTCTGCTCCAGATTCAGCTAATAATCACAGCAGCCCTGTTAAAGTTCTGCTCACGTGGCCAAACAAGGGCTGTTGGGACTTGAGTTCTCATGAGATAACAGTAACGTTTGTACAGTTTGAACTTGCTACAGCTAGCAGGCAAGGTTGGAAGTATTACAGTATTTATCGCAGTGAGGCAACTCAAGCAGCACTAATTTGRTAGAAGCTGATGTGGTTTTTTAATCGTGCATTACTGAATGTGTTGCACGTTATGTTAGCAGGCTAAAATAAGGACAGCAGCCACTTGCTGTGGCACATCTGTCCACAACCTTGTCAGTGCAGTTGCTGTTGGTCGCTGCTGCCAAGAGCCTCGGCAGTTTGTTTTGGTTTACAAACTGCTCCAGCTACTGCTGACTGTAGAGTCAGACGTGGCTCTCATAATAACCCGTCTGCACGCCTAAATCCCTTTGTTTGGGGTGGAGCTGTGAAACAGGTCCTTCTTGTAATGTAACCACTGTTATGGTCTTTCAAAATAGTCACTTTGCCACATCTGGTGTGTCAGAGAAATATTGTGTATGCAGTGTACTGAAATCTTAGAAGGTTCACCCTAAAGCTACATGTCTTTTTTAACCCTTTCACCCCTAAAATCTGTTTCTGTTTTATTTGTATTCTCTTTCTGTTTCTATCCGTTCCGTTGAATCCATATCTTTTTTATGTGTTTACCAGATGGGGCTGCGATGCGGGCTGGTGTTCAGACAGGAGATAGGATCATTAAGGTATTGTACTGTATATATCTGTTTCTGTTTCTTTAAGCTGCAAACATCCCTGTTCTTCCTGCATCCATAAAGAGGCTGTAGGCTGCCACCTCCTGGACATTCAGTTATTTCTTCTTTCTACAACATCGAGCAGTATATAGTCTCAAATTGTGAAAGCAAACATTGAATATTTGGCTTTTGGCACGTCTATTGGTTCATTTTATTTAGAATTAATATACTGTTTTTGTCTRCTAGGTTAACGGGACCCTTGTTACACATTCTAATCACACCGAAGTTGTGAAACTTATCAAATGTTAGTTCCTTCATACCTCAAACCTTATTTTAAAATTAAATAAATACTTCAGTAATGACAATTCAATTAATATCCTTTGGTGTTTTTGTTTTAGCGGGCTCTTATGTGGCCCTCACGGTTTTGGGACGCCCTCCAGGGCTTCCCCAGATCCCATTGCCTGAAGCAGATCCTGAGGCATTGGGTATTAGCCTATCCTCTCCAAACTCTCCAGCATCAGAACGCCCATACAGTCCTCTGAACTGCCTCTCCTCTCTACAATCATGGGTACTAATTTATTTATTTATTTTATTTTATTTTTTTGCATTTTCCTTCAGTAAATGTGTCCCTTTTGTTCATCCTGTTTCCATGGAGTCTCAGCTTCAAAGTGTTTTTGTCTTGTCCCTTTTTCCTCTCTATTTTTAAATCTATAGACATCAGAGTGATGCTTTCAGTTTTTTATGTATTTTCTTACAAAATTTTGACAGCAGTTAAATATGTGTTTAGTGCATTAGAACTATGTTACAGGTGGCAGACTTTTGATATTAGTCCCATTTTATTTTCTCCCTCAGGATGAGAGCAGCAGTGCCTGCAACCAGATGGCTGATGTTTTGCAAAAGAAGTTCTCAAAAGAGCAGCAGGAGCTTCAGGTTAGCATAACAATGCTGATTGTCTTCCTTTTTTTATTTCAGTTCTGTTTTCCTAGGAAGACTTTAGTGGTGACATCTTTGCCCCAGTTTTGACACAGTTGTGCATATGAGACCTTTTTGAACAATGTTGCAATATCCTTATAAAAAAACTAAAAATAAATCCCATTAAATGTCTTTAAATAGAATATTGTTTGGGTTGGGAAGCAGCTGGTATGTGCACACTTGTCATGCAGTTATTTTTCATTTTGAAATATTTACCTAAAAAAATTGTTATTTAGCCCTAGAATCTTACATTTGTATTGGCTTAAATGTATACAAATGTCCCAGACTCACTGTTCCTCTCATCCTTTTGATTACTCATCTCTCACTTTAGGCCATGAAAGAAAAGTACAACAGGAACCCCTCCCCCAAACTACTGAAAGACATTCAGGAAGCAACAAAACACATTCCTCAGCTGCAGGGTCAGCTCTTCAAGGCTACTGGGACAACACAGGTACCAACTTGGAATTTTAACCCCCAGAGCAGGAAATTTACTGACAGAGATGGACCAGAAACACCCAAGCAGTCTTTGTTTAATTTCATGCAGCACTATTGGAGATCATTCCAGACAAATGTGAATCCTATTCTCATCAGAGGATTAGGCTTTATCTGCTGGAAGCCGCTCTATTGTGTCTGCATGACAGCTTATTTTACATCACTCTTTTGTGCTGTAACGTTTATCTCTGTATTCATTATATAATATATATAGTATATACCATATAATATATAATACATCACCTGCCATTCACCATAACAGGAAAGTTACGAAATACAAAATTCACTCATTAATTTGTACCTGTTAAAATAGTTACTCGTTACAAAGCTTGTGATTAACTGTAGCTTTTCATTCGTTTAAAAACATATCTTTTGTGAATCCACAGGAGGCTGTTTCAGGTGAAGAAGAAGACAATGGTAGCATAATAGAGACAGATTGTGTACCTGCCCCTAAAGGAGACAACAGCACAGACCTTTCCTGGAGCAGCACTTCTGTAAGTTATCATAATAACAAAAATAAATAAATAAATCTCTGAGCTTCTTGCAGGTTGTTGCTAAATAAATCATTTTGCTGCTTTATGTCTCGAGAATGTCAGTGTGGGCACTATAAATGCATTCATTGATTTTTGCATTCAGATATAAATAAATTTAAAATTTGCTAAGTGCTCTTTAGTGTTGTGCGATTATTTGAAGCCTGTTAAAAATGTAACACAATTTCCCATTTATCGCCCAGGCATCTCACATGTTTGGACCCGGATCCCCAGATAGCTATTGTCCAAAAGACTCCTCCTGTGCCAGCCCCAAAAGCACACCCAGGAACAGCTTCAACTCCTTCCACTCCCCGGAGGCAGAGGATACCACTGACTTGGTAAACAAACACTTCAAAGTGTCCGTACTTTCTTAAGCATTCATTCACTCAATTTGCTTGTGTATGTTGGTTTAACTATGCACTTTTATTTGTTACGATGGGACAAGCGATTTCATAACATGTCAATGTATTTTCTGCAGGACGCCCTGTCTCCCATCACAGTCAGCAGCCCCCCTCCTTTTCGCCTTGGCTTGCAAATAATAGGAGCTGAAGATGACTATTTCGATTCAGACCAAGAGCAAGTATGTTGTATTTTTATTTTTTACATTTGTGCCATTTAAATAAAACCACCAAATATTCAACATTATTAAAGTATAGAAAGCTAACTTTTTATCATTTTTCATCAGGGTGAAATGTTGAACTTAACTATGTTACAGACAAATGGCCAGTGTAACAGCTTTAACAGTATCGATCAGCTCAAGTCTCGTCCGGCCCACCTCGCAGCATTCCTGCACCATGTCATCTCTCAGTTCGACCCCGCTCCAGTGGTAGGACCCCCCGGGACTGTGATCAATATTTTTTGTGTATTTATTGGTTTTATGCAACCCATCATCTTGCCATAAAGCTGAGTTGTTAATATTTGTGCGTATATTCTGTTCTCAGCTGTGCTACCTCTATGCTGACTTCTATAAGCAAACTAACTCCAAAGAGACCAGACGGGTGTTCTTGGACTTCCACTCCATCTTTATGGACCGGGCAGCAGTGAGTCAACCTTTCTAGTACAAAAACACTGACAGATGGTAAAAATAAACACGTGGATTAAAACCAAACAAAATAGTACTGACATGTTAGAATAAGGTAGCATGAATGCAGCTAATTGGGTTTTGAACACCTCTAACAGGTGATGATTGTGTTGGCTAATTTTATTTGAACCATGCTTACATTTAAAGGTGGATCTTCTTTCCGCTTTTAATATGCTGTCAATATATTTTAAACAATTTATCATTATTTATTTTCAGAATTTAAAAGTTCCCGTTCCGGAATCAGTTTCTTCTGATCTCAGTAAGTATGTCCAAGTATGTCTATTGACCGAGATGATACAATACATAAAAGCTTTTGGAAAGTATAGATTAGCTTTATTTAGAGTGCACATTTCACATTCCAGTTGGTATTTTATATATAGTGTTTGAGTGTGCTTGTGTGTGTGTGTGTGTGTGTGTGTGTTTGAAGACCGACGGCGGATGGAGCTGATCCCAGAGGAAATAAACAGACAACACGTTCAAACACTGCAAGACTCTGTGATTGCTGATATTCAGAAAAACCTTGAAGACTTCAGGTAAACTTGGCCAGTCAGAATTTTTATTTATTTATTTATTTTTGTCATTTCCATTAGTTTGACCTTGATTAGATAAAGCTGTATGTACAGTGGTTTGCAAAAGTATTCATACCCCTTGAACTTTTCCATATTTTGTCACATTACAACCACAAACATAAATATATTTCACTGGAATTTAATGTGAAAGACCAACACAAAGTGGTATACAATTGTGAACTGGAAGCAAAATTTTACATGAATCAAAACATTTTTTACAAATAAAAAACTGAAAAGTGCGATGTGCAAAATTATTCAGCCCCCCTGAGTCAATACTTTGTGGAGCCACCTTTTGCTGCAATTACAGCTGCAAGTCTTTTAGGGTATGTCTCCACCAGCTTTGCACATCTAGTGACTGCAATTCTTGCCCATTCCTCCTTGCAAAACAGCTCAAGCTCAGTCAGATTGGATGGAGAGCGCTTGTGAACAGCAGTTTTGAGATCTTGCCACAAATTCTCAATTGGGTTTAGGTCTGGACTTTGACTGGGCCATTCTAACACATGAATATTCTTTTTTTTAAACCACTCCATTGTAGCTTTGGCTTTATGTTTAGGGTCGTTGTCCTGCTGGAAGGTGAACCTCCGCCCCAGTCTCAAATCTTTTGCTGACTCCAACAGGTTTTCTTCCAAGATTGCCCTGTATTTGGCTCCATCCATCTTCCCATCAACTTTGACCAACTTCCCGGTCCCTGCTGAAGAGAAGCACCCCCAGAGCATGATGCTGCCACCACCATATTTGACAGTGGGGATGGTGTTTTCAGAGTGATGTGCAGTGTTCTTTCTCCGCCACACATAGCGTTTTGCATTGTGGCCAAAAAGTTCAATTTTGGTCTCGTCTGACCAAAGCACCTTCTTCCACATGTTTGCTGTGTCCTCAACATGGCTTCTGGCAAACTGCAAACGGGACTTCTTATGGTTTTCTTTTAACAATGGCTTTCTCCTTGCCACTCTTCCATAAAGACCACATTTGTGTAGTGCACGACTAATTGTTGTCCTGTGGACAGTTTCCCCCACCTGAGCTGTGGCTCTCTGCATTTCATCCAGAGTCACCATGGGCCTCTTGGCTGCCTCTCTGATCAGTGATCTCCTTGTTCGGCCTGTAAGTTTAGGTGGACGGCCTTGTCTTGGCAGGTTTACTGTGGTGCCATACTCTTTCCATTTCCGGATGATGGATTGAACAGTGCTCCGTGAGATGTTCAAAGCTTGGGAAATCTTTTTATAACCTAAGCCTGCTTTAAACTTCTCCAAAACCATATTCCTAACCTGTCTGGTGTGTTCTTTGGACTTCATGATGCTGTTTGCTCCCCAATATTCTCTTAACCAACATCTGAGGCCGTCACGGAGCAGCTGTATTTGTACTGAGATTAGATTACACACAGGTGGACCCTTTTGAGTCATTAGCAGTCATCAGGCAACTTCTGAATGCAATTGGTTGCACTCAGGGAAAAGGGGGCTGAATACTTTTGCACATCGCACTTTTCAGTTTTTTATTTGTAAAAAATGTTTTGATTCATGTAAAATTTTGCTTCCACTTCACAATTGTATACCACTTTGTGTTGGTCTTTCACATTAAATTCCAGTGAAATATATTTATGTTTGTGGTTGTAATGTGACAAAATATGGAAAAGTTCAAGGGGTATGAATACTTTTGCAAACCACTGTATATATTAATTGTTTTGTTGTTTTAATAAACTGTTTATGCTGTTGAACTTAATTTTGTATGTTTATTGTGGATAGTATGAATCTAATAGCACAAAGTACTGCATCATAGTTGTGATCACTTGTGAACTTTCCAGCTCTATTTCTAGTTTAGAGAACGTTTCTTGCTAAAAATCCAGACCTTATTCTTTCCCCCTGTGTTTATCTGTGAAAATAGTTCAAGACATTGATCTAAACAAAGATCATTTCACGTTTTGATTCATGCAGGCAGAAACGTAGCATGGGCCTGACGGTGGCCGAAGGCGAACTGACCAGACTCGACCAAGAGAGAGTCCGAGACCAGGTCACTCTTGAACGGGAACGTTCGTATGCCGAAAACATCATCAGCAAAATAGATGACATCCTGTAAGCTGCACACGTATTTGCAGAAACACTGGCATGATATCATCTTTCTTTTGCAAAATACTCATTTTCCTTTTCCTGTTGTTTGCAGGATAACTACTCAACCCACAGAGGAAGAGAAATGGTAATATACAGTATTTCACACTGTCACACTTACTGTATGTAGTACATTGATACAGAAAATGAGAATTTCTTGAAACACACAAGGATTGTTTAAAGATTCAGCTGTTCTTTCAGTAATTTGTGTCACACCTAAAGAAAACAAAACAAGACAAATCTGTGTCTTCATGGCTCAATTTAATAAACATTTTGACTCATTTTAATTAATCATTTGAAACAAGACTTTAACTAAATGAAGTCAATCATAGTAGTTTATTATTTTGCAACTTTAGTCCTAGAAGTTTCACCTAAGTATTCTTAACAGCATTTAGCACATTTGCAGTGTATCATTAAATCACCAGTGTTCATTTACAACTTAAACACTCAAGCAGAAGTTTTAAGAGAACATATAATTTATACAGCATGATTTTTTTATTAAATAATTCAAAGTATGACTGATTGAGTCTTGTTGGAAATGCCATATGGTCTTAGCACAACACAGATGGTTTGTCTAGCATTAATATGAGAAAAACTGATTTAACATATGGCACAAGTCAAAAGATGGATAGCTTTGCTTTTCAGATTTTAGCACTGCCTTTTGGTATTTGTTGAAAATAAAAACAAACTTTAAAGTTAACACTTCTATTTCCCTTTAGCACTACAATACAGTATGTTATCTATACATACATGAAGCACCTTGGTGTGAGGGTCAAGGAACCTCGAAATCTGGAGCCCAAACGTGTTTGGATCGGCTTTCTTCCAAAGATGAAGGTACTTCATCTCCTTATTGCATTATGAATTATTGGGAAATAATGATTCACTCGAGCCTTGTTTCCATTTGATTATCGATTTTAAGTTCATGATTATGATTATTTCATATTTTTTAAAATTCYTTCAACATAATGAATTGTAGCCATTTTATAACCAAGTGTGTTTCGTTTCTTTTAACATCAACATTTTTGTCCTTGTATCAAACTGAAACTGTCTGTTGTCTTAGTAACAGAAAATAACTTCAAAATAAGTAAAAATGTCATCATAAATCCTTTTGTGATGAAAATTTATCAAGTATCAAACTGAGTTTATCTGAAAGACATAACTCACTATTACCTAATAACAGTGGAATTATTTATTTATTTTTATGAATCAATTCACATTTTAAGCAGCACTCGATTAATTGTTAGATCCCTAATGAATCCTCTTCAAATGTTTTGGGGTGGGAATCTTTAGGCACCTCATGGTTTATTGGGATTATGATGACAAAAGGACTGAGGTTCAGTTAAAAAAATAATTATCAATGTATTTCAATTACCTGTGATAATCAGATTTGTGAACAAACAGGAGGCTGCTGGTAAACCCATGATGTTTAGTCAAAAACACTGTGAAATGGAAACAAAAGCCTCTTTCACAAGACAGGTCCATGAAATGACCACACAGATCAGTCCGACTTTAAGCACCCTGGGTTAATTCATAAATCACAGAAGCCGGCCTGTTCCCGCTCACATGTACGCGTTCAGGAATGAACCTAGCAGCGCAGAACCAAAAGAGGCGTGGAGCAGATCTCAGTTCAGCTGAAGAGGACCGCAAAGCATTTATTCTGTGACGGATATATCACATCAAGCAAAACAAACTGAATTTGTATACTTTAACGATCTTGTGGTTTAATATTTTTTAAACTAACTAAACAGTTGCTGCTCTGTGTCGTCTATAATACTCCCTCAGTAATAAATCTGTTGATTCATCCTGCGGTCACTCACAGATCTTCCTTGTATCAAAAAACAAAAAAAAAGCTGAATGAATGAGGCTAAAGAGACAGAAAGACAATTTTACAAATTGAACTGACTTTTTTACATACAGTAAATCAGTGGCCCTCAGACTTGTACTGTTGGATCCTCCCTTTGGAGAAATGCAATTGTCAGTGTCCTGCAGGCCACAGGAAAAAAAAATAACAATGCTGAATTTTTCAAGATGCTAAGATGCTAACTTAACATTGGTATCACTGTTAATTCTTGCACAAATCAAACAGTCCAAAGTCATTGGGAAAGACAGTCATGCTAAGATAACTTCAGCAATTATTTACAGACATCTATTCTGTGAAGTTCATCTAACAGAAGATGAAAAGCACGCAACTTTACTGCAACATTTGTCTACTGCAGCAGCTGTGGCAACCGTACAAGTGGCATCAAATAGCAACTGCTTTGCTGACTCTCCTAAAGTGGCAACACAGATTAAGTTAACAAAATTGAGTTTTGACATTCAGGGAATTGAATCAGAATCATTCGTGTTTGCAATGTGACGGACCTAAAAATAGATTTCACCTCCCATTCCTAGTTATCGCCTATGTAACGACTTTTCTTCCTCATTTGTGATGACTTGCAGAAAAGCATAAAGCCAGATAAGGAAGGAGATGAGAAAGTGGAGAAAGTGGAGAAAAAACCCAGATTTAATTTTCTTGCACCTCAGCGTCGGCCCAGCCGCATCGAATCAGGTAAGCGCCGTGTGTTTGTGTGAAGGGGCTTAGATTGAATAAATGAAAACAGTATGAAAAGCCTTTTGTGATTTCTGAAACTTGTCGTTCGCAGTGAGTAAAGTCGTCGAAAATCGCCCCAGGCCACAGAAACAGGTCTCTCAGCCTACACTTGGGACAAACGAACCAATGGAAGGCGGTTTAAGAGGCAGCCAATCCAGTGAAGGCTCTGAACTCACTCATTCCATGTCGGTCAACGCCTCGACTCCAAACAGCATCACCCACAGCTCAGACTTGAGCCGAGATGCTGATATTGGTGAGCTACGATATGACTAAATTAGTTAAAAGAAAAAGCAGATGTTTTGAAACGGTGTTTGCCTAAAAGCCTAAAAAATAGGTCATGATAAAGTTTTCATTTCATTTTGTTTTATTGATCTGAATAGATAAAAACAGGAAAACTTCAGTAAACATAGCTTTCCTTCTTTAAAGGGATCCATGATTAGTTGTAACATTAGATTTTATTTGATAACCATATATTTTAACTGTAAAATAAAGACTGTAAAAATACTGTAGGATGTTCAGTTTTTATAATTTTAAACTAAAAGTTTAAAAATATATTACACGGACAGAGCTATTTTATTTACACACAAAGCATTCTGGGTAAATGATGACGTGGATAGGTCCTCAGTGTTAGCGAGCTATATCCACCCTGAAGGTTAATCTTGGACAATATCTGACGATTGGCTCTTTTAAATGAAACCAGAGAGGAGAAGGTAGAAATGACTCAGCCTGTAACTGAAAATATGGATGGAGGACAACAGAGCTGCTTCATGGAAGAAGAACCTCAGCTTAGCCTGTTAGCTTCAGCGTTAGCCCCGATGCTATCACATCATATGTATTAGCTCAGCATCCTCCATCCACGACAGAGAGGTGAACACAAAAATGCAACTGGAAATATGGATGGAGGACCTCAGTTTAGCTTGTTGGTTTGTCATGCTAGCACTAAGCTAATACATATAAGGCAATATAGCGTTGGCACTAGCACAAAGGCTAACAGGCTAAGCTGAGGTTCTTCTTCCATGAAGCAGCTCTGTTGTCCTCTTATCTATATTTTCAGTTACAGGCTGAGTTGTTTCTACCTTCTCCTCTCTGTCAATGCTCTGGTTTCATTTAAAAGAGTCGATCATCAGATATTGTCCAAGATTAATCTTCAGGGTGGATATAGCTCGCTCACACCGAGGACCTATCCACGTCATCATTTACCCAGAATGCTTTGTGTGTAAATAAAATGGCTCCATCTGTGTTAAAATATATTTTTAAAAATTTACAAAACTAAACATCCTGCAGTATTTTTACAGTCTTTATTTTACAGTTAAAATAAATGTTTATCAAATAAAGTCTAATGTTACAACTAATCAGGGATTCCCTTTAACTGACCTTTTTAGTCACCATTGATCAAACTCTGCATAGCAGTTGGTGATCGTTTGATCTACTGTAAGTACTCTGAAAGTGTTCTAGTCAAAGAGACACAAAACCAAATGGTTTGACAAAAGGCACAAGACCACAGTGTAGACTGTGTATCAGTCTGCTGGTAAATAAATTATTAAAACTAAGCTTGTTTATTAGGTGGGACACCAACATCAGCCCCCTCCAAGCTGACCGACAGTTTTCAATCAGACCCTCTGGGCGGGTTTTCATCTCCTGCTTCACACTTGGAGTTTTTTAGTCTAGACCATCTTCAAGAGGATGACAGAGAAAATTACAGGTACATTTAAAGTCACGTGTGTTTTTGAAACAAGGATTGTCTGTTTGTTATAATTTATTTAATTATATTTTTTGTAGAACTCATGAGGGAACACCAAAGGCTATCAGACGGTAAACCTACTTGATTGTTTTTGTTTTTGTGTTTAAAGTCTGTTTCAAATATAAAAGAGATTTTATCAGCATAATAAGAAAAGATATCATTTTTTTTTTCACTAGACTTGATGGATTGGGCCTAGCTGACGTTCAGAGTGAGGATGATCAGGGTACCGATTCTGAACACAACCCGCCTAACTGGCAGCAGTTGGTGGGACGAGAAGTTCTTGCCGGTCTCAGGCCTCACGAGATCAAGAGACAAGAAGTTATCAACGGTGAGGACACAATGCTAGTAAATTCACTGATGGTGGATTCATGTCTCGAAAGAAACAAAGATTACACTCTGTGTGCCAAGGGAGAGGGAATACACGCAGCAAAGCAAATACTGCGATTCACTTGAATTTCCTGCTACGCATCCTAGTTGTTCATGTGTACATGAGGTTAAATGAGCACCTTGCATTGTGTCTGCAGAGCTGTTTTACACAGAGCGCACACATGTACGAAAGCTCAAGGTTTTGGACCACGTTTTCTACCAGAAGCTTTCCAAAGATGCAATCCTTCCTCCTGCTGACATCAAGAACATCTTCACCAATCTGGAAGAGGTTCTCCATCTGCACGGTACTCACTCAAACACACACACGCAAACACTCCTCGCCATGAACAATCAGCAAAACCCTTAATATGTAATAAGTAAAGCTACTCTAGTACATTGGATAGACCCTCACATGTACATCTTACACTGTTTTATCTTTGGTGTCATACTCAACGGGGACACGCTAACTATTGATGCATCTCCTTTGAATTGCAGTTTCAGTACTTGAACAAATGACAGCAGTTCGTAAGAGAAATGAGTCTTCAGTAATTGGTCAAATAGGAGATGACTTGCTCTCTTGGGTGAGTACAGTTTTATTTCCACTCTCACACAGTGTCTTATAGTGAATGTGAATGGGATCTACTCTGTGGAAGGAAGTGAATTTTTAAATTTACTGTTATTTTTTGTAAAAGGAAGATTGACTTAGACGGATTTCTTTCTTTTTTTCCTATAAATTTTCAGTGTTTTAATACCTCAAACAGAAGTCCATAACACATTCTTTACAGGAAAAAATACAAACGTAAAACATTGGACTTTGCTTTTCTTTGCTGGAAAATATCACAATAGAAGCAAGTGAAAGAAATGCCTCCATGTTTTGAGCATGTCAAAAGATGGCCTAGATTTGTGTGACATCTACACATCTCAGTGTGTGATATATTTAAAGTGAAGTCACCAGATATCTGCTGGCAGCTCTGTCTGAATCCTCACTCTGGGGGGATAAGCTGGGTAAATGGTCCCCTGAGGTCTGAGCCTTGATCTAGTCTTTGTTAAACTTTAAGCTGTCTCTGCTAACAAAACATAAGCCTGTCCATATTTTTTAGTCAGCCGTTTACTAAGCAGTTTTTTTCCCCTGCCAAGTAATCCTGACCAAGTGTCTCTCTCTGTCGCTACATTCCCGTCCTGCTTTGGGTCGTTTACAGTTCAGCGGTGGAGAGGAGGAGAAAATCAAGCAAGCTGTGGGGACGTTTTGCAGCAACCAGCCTTTTGCTCTGGAGATAATCAAGACCAAGCAGAAGAAAGACTCAAGGTTCACTTCATTCATCCAGGTACGCTCATTATACTCACATGGTGCAAAGAAAGTACTCACCCCCAGTTCGGAAATGTCTCGTTGGTTGTTGTACTAAACAGATCTTCAGAAATGTAAACTATAAACTGAATGCTTTGTCACTTATCTACGTTTGTGTTGCTCAGTCAGCATTTAGATTTATATATATAAAACCTACGTTTTTCCTGTTTTGTGGCTGTGTAAGATCCCCTTATGATTTATTTTATGTGTTTGCAGGAGGCAGAGAGTAACAGACTGTGTCGCCGACAGCAGCTTAAAGACATCATTCCTGTAGAAATGCTTCGGCTCACCAAGTATCCTCTGCTGCTAGACAACATAGTCAAATATACAGGTGTGGTAGTGTTGCCTTAAAACCTGAACTGTTTACCTACAGCTAGCTGTGATTAGTTCATGCCGCAATCCCTTCATGTGTGACAGGTTTTATTTGAACTGCATACTGTGCAAACTGTGTAAACATTCAAGACTGATTTTCGAATAGTTTAACTCTAAAAAGGAGTTTCTAGATCAAAATAAAATTTAAAACTGTTATTTAAGACGAATATCTCATTTTCTTTAAACTGCTTAACTCAATATAACACAACAGAAATATTAGTAAATACTTTTAGACTTTTAAGTGAAACAGGCCTAAAGAGGCTCTGTGTGGCAGCATGCCATTTATTAATGGATTATAAGCTAATGAAGAGATTATCGTAATGGTCCTGCAGCGTTAGTGCATGACTTTGGAAATGTGACACCCAATTTTGGTTCATTATTTTATTGCTGGTTGAAGTTTAAGTCTCACACCATGAGAAAGRACACATGATGAAGTATCATCGGCTATTACAGGACCATAATGCGTCCTCTGCTTTATCATAATTTCAGAGAATTATGAAGTGTTAATGGGCAGAAGAAATATCAATTTTGTGGACAGTTCCCTGAGGGGCTGTGGAAGAAGCTGAAATGTTCTGGGTCGTATTTTTCAGATGACGCAGAGGAGAAGGCAAAAGTAAAGCAGGCAGCAGACTGCTGTAGAAGGATCCTCTGTCACGTTAACCAGGCTTTGAAAGAGTCTGAGGACAAGCAGGTGGGATTATAGATTTATGATTTCAAATCTGCTCTATGTTTTCCTTTATATGTTGGCCTCCTTCACGTCAGTCTCATCGCAGCTGCTTTAAAGTCCCTGCCACAGTGTGCGTGTGTTTTGGCCTCAAAGTAACTTCCTCCTGGAGAACACTTACCTCTTTTTTCTTTTTCGACTTCTTTCCTTTAGAAATTAGAAGATTATCAGAGAAGACTGGACCTCTCCTCACTAAAGCAGACAGACAACCCCATGATCCTGGAGCTAAAGGTGTGTTATCTACATTTTAGCTCAAAGGGCTAAAGAAAAGCAGCTTTTCTGTAATCCATCCTTCTTCCTGTCTGCCAGAGTCTCTTTAACCTGGACTTATTTTGTCACTCAAGTGAGAGGCAGGTGGTACTTTCAWGGAAACTTTCAGCTTATATGAATATGAGACATAACTCAGTGGAAAATCCAGTGTCCATTCAGTAATATCTGTTGTTTGGACTTCATTTATGAACAACTTACAGGTTTCACAAATAGTTTGGGTCTTTCTCATTTTGCCCCTTACGGTTCGTGTTCCTTTTGGTCATTTGTTTTTTATTTTAAAAACAGACTAGAAAACAAAAATGGATGATTATTCCTTTTTTTCCAACCTTATTTGTCAAAACAACATTTACAAGGAGATAAACTGAAAGCAAATGTCAGTTATGTGCAAATACACATCATGGAACAGTGTGAATTACAGAACAGTAAATAATAATAAAATAGTAAGAACGAAGCTAGATAAAACAAAAATAAAATAATAAAAGCAACAAAAAAATTAAATAAAAATAATGATAATAATAAACAAAATTAAAACAGGGGTTTAGGGGTCCAAAAATACATTTAACATAGTACAGATTTCAATTGTTTTAATAGCAAGTTTGTTGTCAGAGATTTTGATTGTTCGAATGTAATCTTTAACGTCATTGTAAAAAGCAGTAAACAAGTTTACCTTTCAAGCTTATTTCATTTTTATTTTATACACAACCAGAAGTCTGTCACTGTTATCAAGGCAACTCACCACTGTCCTGTGGAACCTGCTGCAGCTTCAAGTTTCCTTTTGAGAACGGCTTCATGTGCTAAAAGCACCAGAAGCTCCAAGAWACAGTTGAAATAATCAGAGATATACAAACCATCCACTAACACCTGAAACGTCAAACTAGTCAGCTAGTGTTTATTTATTGCAGCTGCCTGCTTAGCTAAATATAAAGTAAAACACCCTTATTTATCCTATTATTATATTATATCATCCTTTTATGTTGGAACTAAATAAATAGTTATTTTAAACATTTTTTTATCTATACTAGCTATTTGAAAAAAAAATGCAGTCTGCGGGTAGTTAYKGTTAAAGAAATGCAAAAGTAGTTAGCTAGTGTTTATTTATTCATTTACAGGCTGCCTGTTATTAAAAAAAATATTTAAGTAGCTCCACCTTAAAGAGCCAACTAAACCCCAAAATCAACAGTTTTTTGCAGATAAGCTGTCTAAATTGAGCCTTAAGGGTATTATCTATATAGCGCTCTGCAAATTTGGACATTTTCTTATAKATTTGTTAAATTCTGCAATATTTTGTCTAAAACKGTCTTAGTGCTGCCCTCTATGGGTTGAACGTTGGCTATTGCAGTTGAACTTTCCTAATAGTTTAAAACGGTACAGCTTGGTGCATCCTTACACCACAACTCTAGTAGTCGTGTTTAAAAGCCGTTCACTGAGAGACGATGGGTTGGACTCTGTATGTGGCCTGAACTTTACATGTTAGATTGAAACAGCTAAATGTGAGTTTGTATGTATGTCATGAAACTTCGCTTTTTACAAAACAAGCTGAAAATTGGCCAGTTGACAGATGAGGTTCTAGTTTAAGCTTGAATAAAAATGAAATATGTATAATTAAAATATGTTCAACATAAATGAAAAACTATAGAAGTAGTTTGTGTTGATTCTTAAACTTATTCCTTCTCTACATCCTTCAGAACCTGGATCTAACCAAGAAGACATTGATTCACGAGGGTCCACTGTCATGGAAAGTGAACAAGGACAAGACTATCGGTTTGTAACGATCGCTGTGTTAAAATTTGTGTAATTCATAGGATATGGTCTATAAATAACCATTGATTATGTCTCACAGTGAACAATTTCTTCTCTTTTTTTTCAGAGTTGTTCACGCTCCTCTTGGAGGACATTCTCGTTCTGCTACAGAAACAAGATGAACGTCTAATCCTTAAGTGTCACAGCAAAAACCTGTCAGGAGCCGCAGATATCAAACATATCTACAGCCCCGTCATCAAGCTCAGCACTGTTCTAGTGCGTTCTGTGGCTACAGGTCGGTGCAGTTTTTTGTGTTGTCAGTAAAAAGTCTGAACTTTCAGTTCCACCCTGACCTAATCAGCCTGTGAATGGAAAAGTGTTTTTAAAAATCTTCCCAGGGAGTCCAAAATATTATCATTCTCACCTCAAGGACTCTGTTTATCTTCTCTGCCTCCCAGACAACAAGTCCTTCTTCGTTCTCTCCATGTCAGAAAACGGCCCTCAGATCTATGAGCTCATGGCGCCCACAGTCTCAGATCAGAAAACGTAGGACTTTTGCTTATTCATCAGATTATTATTGTTACAAACATTGGACTTTTGAACACATGTTTCTTCTTTTACACAAGGTGGCAAAGTCTGATCCCTCAGAGAGCTGATGCCATAAAAGCCAAGCCTCACAGCATCATACCATTACCTCAGCCTGAGTATGTTTCTGTATCTTTTTTATAAACTGATAACATCTGATGTCTCCAGGGGTGGGAATTTATTACTAAGCTTAGATTCTGCCTGTGTGCTAGTGGGGAGAGAGATGGAGTGGAGGTCATATCAGCAGGTGCTTCCAGACTAAGCAGAGACCCGGACCGCACGTCCACCGGCAGCACTCAGTCCACAGGTAGCTGAAACTGGTCATGTTTATTRGTTTTTATTTGTCTTGAAKAACTATTTTTGTGTGAATGACTGTAAACATCCCTCCTTAGATAAAGAGAGCAGTTCAGCCTCTAGAAGTGCATTTCAGAGCTCTCCAGTTGGTGGTAATCCGTTTGAAGAGGCGACGAAAGATGAGGAGGAGGAGGAGGAGGAGGAAGAGGAAGGCTTTTTGGACCCAGAACTTCCATATCAAGTGTCTGAAGTGGACAAAGAGGGAGACTTGTTTGATGTGTTCCCTTCCAGAGCAGAGGAGGCACTTAAAACATGTAAGGATGCTGAAAAGATGAAGGGAATGGTGGTCAGAAAAAAATATATAGTGTTAATAATAATTTGTTGTCTGTCCCTCAGTGGCAGCATTAAAGCAAGTGTTGGTGACTCAGCTGATGTCCCAGGAGGCGGCAGAGCAAACCAAACGCTCCACTGGAGCTCGTCTCCTCAGGACCACCTCTCTGCGGACCCCAACAGACAACCGCACTAAAGTGATGGTTCACAACAGTTCAGAGAAAAGTAGCTCAAAAACACAGGAACTGGCTCAAGATCTTGGATCAGGGGACACTGGATTCTTTGACTCACCTGAAGATTACGGTAAATGGAGAAGATTAGAGCATCTTCGTTCCGTATGGTTTCACAGCAGCGATACTGAACGGTTTGTGCCTGCAGGATGCTTGGTCCTGGGGGGCTATGGTGGTCCTGGGGAGAGCACCACAGATGATGACATCTTGGCTTCAGCCACTGGGAAGCAGCTGAGCACCTCGCAAGTTTGTGCAGCCGACTCTGGCATCAATTTGAGATTTTCCTCAACGTCACAGGTCGGCAGCCTCTCCACCTTCAGCAGACAGGTGCTGTCTCACCTTAGAAACCTTCAGACCAACCTCAACTATCTGAAGGTACTAAACGGTTTTTAGTCGCATCGGGACTCATACGTATCTTTGATAAAAGCGTGATGTGCTCAAATTATGATTTAATCTGGTTCACTTCTTTCTTTTTCTCTCTCTCTTTAACAGGAGGTTGAGGCTAAGTATAATAATTTAATACGTCAAAGGCCAGCGAGGTCAGTAACAGAAACGGATGAAAACAAAGGTATCTTCATCTAAGCACAACTCACTCCCTTGCTCTTAAAATGTGAAAGAGTTTCTGTATCTGTCTCTATTCTGATCCTTACTTTTTTTTTCACCAGATAAGAGATAGTGTGGATGTCAGTGTGCTGCAAGTTTAAGCTCTGGTCCCAAAGAAGAAGCACCGACTTGTAGTCTGCTGTTTCTTTTTGTGTCCTGGACTTTCTGGACGTCCTATAAGCTTGTCCTCTCACTGCTGACCCCTTGTTTTTTATTTTTATTTTATTTTTTGTTTTTTTCCATCACCTATGATTGGAGATTGAGAGACTTAAGCGTGAGCAGTCGTTTGAAGGGAGGATTCATGTACGTGATGTCACACCYCCCTTTTCTCAGCACAAGGCAATCAGGGAAGTGGGATTGCCCCCAGAACTTCAGCCTCGTCTACCATTGAACTCCCATTTTCCCCTAAACTCCCTGCAAGAAAGAGAACTTATACCAAAATGTACAAAGATGCGTGTTTAGTATATATATATATATGAAAAACAAGCAAGAAAAGGAAAATTTTAAGATATTGTATTAAGATTTTTTTTATCCCGAGATGTATTTATTTTCTTTTTTTTCTTTGTTTTTGAAAAAGAAAAAAACGGTGTTTCCCAGATTGCTTGCATGCTTTTGACCATGGTGTTACCTTTTAGTAGCTCATTTTGCTCCAGTCAAATGTGGTTGGTGTGAGTGCACGCTAACATACAAGCACCCTAGTGTAACTTCAAAATGGCATCACTATATTTGGACTAATAGAGGCCAGAGTTACACTAGTGATGGATAGATCCTGCATATCAGAACTGTTTAAGTCTAGAATTGACCATGAATTCTAGGTGTGGTGTTAACTAGAATGAAGAGTCTTTTCAGGCTCTGATCTGGTCCTGTTTCATTTCTGTGCTGACCACTTCGTCCTCCCGTTTAKTCTTTTCTTGTTTTGTGTGCGATTGTCTGCCTATTTCTTTTCCGTGTGAACACGTATGAGTGTTTTTCCCTTTTCCTCTTCCAAGAAGCTGGGTGGCTTTCATCCCTTCCTACACTTCATATGTCACGTTTCCTCCTCTGCCTCTGCCTCTCTTGCCCTTTCTCCCTGTCCCACGAGGAGCGGTCATGCTCTCTCTGTATCAGTTGCTGACAGAAATGTTGCTTCTTTCTGCTCCGGTTGGACATTCTGATCTGACTGCTTGATATTCTAATAATGTCATGAAGTTCAACATATAGTGTACAATGATCAAGTTGGAAGGTTATGCATAACTTTACAAAATAAATGGTGCCATGACATGTTCAAAAACAAGGTCTGGTTTTCTTTCATATATAAACACTGGGTGAGAACATTTGTTGTTACACATCTTGGTTTTATAACACTGATTCTACATTTTACCAGTACATGGTTCGAATGAAACTTTCAGTAATAGAGAATTGATTGAAAGTTAATACATCTTCAAGCGTGATGAAAAATATCAGGAACATTTTGTACTCATTATGACAGATGGGCCAATTGTATGGAGGTAACTTTATGTTTTTATTATTCAATCAAACAA